CCCCAAAACCCCAAAACCCCAAAACCCCAAAACCCCAATTTGGGAGTTTTAGATTGGAATAAAATTATTTGTGTTAAAATAAATTTAATGGAACTTTCAGGTAAATTTTTTGAGAAGAGAAGGAGTGATGAGGGGGTTTAGAGGGAGAATTAAGAGTTTATAGACGAATCTAAGATAGTGAATGAGATTAAGAAGATGACAGAGATCTTGAATAATGAAGAAATGAACCAAAGTAATTAACGCTCTTCGAATTGCAAAAATGAAGTTTATAAATAGATTAGTATTTAAGTTGAAATGTTGCTTGCTACGCTTTCTGATTTTTTAATTGATCTTAACACACAAAATGCTTTTCAGGCGTTTGATATTAGCATTATAAGCAATCTTAAGTATAAATAAGTCACATACAGCACAAAGTTGTTCTTTATAGATTATGCTTATTTTGCTTTTTATCTGTCAGAGAAACTGGCATTTAAAATTTTAGCTCTAATACCTGTATAAAGTGTATTTAACTCTAAAGATACTTGAAGGCTAGAGAGCAGGAGCATTTCGTTTAATACAGAAATATAGATGATGCAGAAGTCATCCACAACCTTCAGAATATCGTTCAGGATATCGAAGAGAAAGTTAATAATGAAAGCATTACTAGCAGGACAAATAATGACAAAACAAACTCACTGCTAGAAAATGGAGCATTTTTAAATTACCAGAAAAGTAACCAAAAGAAGTCTCATCCTTCCTTGGCTTACCGGATGGGAGAAAGGTTTTTGAGCTCCAAGAAGAGTGCAAAAATATTTAGAGATCAGAATCTATTAGGCCATTCAAGCTCGCGATCTGGCAATAATCCATTGTATAACTATCCTAAAATTCCGCCTGCTCTGGTCTACGACCCGAAATATAGTAGGAACAGTAAGGAGAACTTCACAAAATTCGCTACAACAGCAACTGTGAATGGAAAGACAGTGAATTTCATGGAGACAATAGGTACATGCTTCATAAATATCTCTAGACCGTCTTTATGACTTGCAAAAACAACATAATGAGAAAATCGAAGCCCAAAGATTTCTTAAATACCAAGAAGAATCCCGTGAGAACATGACTGTTTCAAACCAAATCAAGGAAAAGAAGAGAAATAGCAAGTCTGTTAGTGAAATTCCTTTATATAAACGTTCTTACGGTCTTCAGCTCCAAAAAGATCTCGAACTACAGGTAATCCCTTAACACAATATGTCTAGAAGCTACAAAATAGTCGTGTTCAACAGCTAGAGGATGACTTCGAAAGTGAAATGGAATCCCATAACAAACTTTCTGTGCACAACAAAATAAATAGGAAAAAATTCACTCAAAAAGGTAATGAGTCTATTTATCTCTAGAATGGCAAGAATTTTACAAAGAAAGATTCACAGATCTTGAGACTAAAAGAATAGAAGGCCTTGGCAACAAGAGAGAAAAGTTTATCAATGAAGTCATGAAACATCCCAGACATAGAAACAGAGCTAGTAGAGGTGTCAATATTGAAGACAGGCTACTTGACCAAGGAGAAAAATATAAGGAAAAGAAGGCAGATAGGCAGAAAGCAGAGAAAAAGAAATATAAAACTCGCATTTTCAGTAGTAATTCTAAGAAAATATTAGCAAAAAGAAACAGACCGTTGAGTTCTGTTGATTATGCTCGGGATAAAATAGACCAGGAAGGGTCTAATTTTGCAGCAGCCATAGAAGCTATGATGCAAGATAGAAAGAACTTTATTAATAAGGGAAATGTTGTAGGAGACTGCTTGAACGTTCCTCGCTCAACACCTGGCCAGATAATTCCAGAAACTACTGAGAGGGAGGATGATTTCCTTCACTCTTACGCAAATGAGATCAACCAAATGTCTTTAGAGCCCCCTTCAAGCCTTAACTATGACCTCAATGATCGGTATGATATGGATAGTAGGCAAAGAGAAAGAATCGATCAATACAGAAAAAAAAGCCCTTACACAACTGAAGAGAAATACCAATTCACAATGGGTAGCTCTGTCTCTAATTTTGGGAGGTTCCCAAGTAAATATGCCAACCAATTCAGCGATGACTCTAGGAACAAAATCAATGAGACTAACACCATTGAGAAAGTCATCAATGGTGATTACGCAGATGATGAAAATGTGAATTATTATTCAATTGGAAGTAAATCATTCGGAGTCAAGGAAGAACAACAGAAAGACAGTATCACAACTCCAGATGTATCAGATCCGATAATAGATCCATTTGGAGGCAAATCAGACGAAGATCTCTTACACAATGAAGAGTATGACCATGCTAAATTTCATCGTGACAGGAATCAACACCATGACGATATTATCAACGTTCAGGATTTTGCTGAAATCTACGATCATAGCCGAGAAATCAATGGATCAAGTGATATTCTCAACGGAAGTTTTGATAATAGCATGCAAATGCAACTTTTCTTGAAATCCCTGAAGAATCAGGCTTCAGTGAAAAATAACGTAGAGGACGACTTCGATCAAGATAAAGATCAGGAACTGAACAAGCTAATCCAGGATGGGATCGATATAGAAGAGAATATCCTAGATCCAACAAGAAAGAAGAGACAGAAATTGAGCAACTATTCAGATCAATATTCTCGACCAGAGATCAAAGAGGATGACCAAAAATATTCCCCACCTCGTGCTGGTAAGTACCGGGGCTCGAAACCTAGTGGCTCTAGATCATCAAGAGTTGGAATCAGCCTGAGCGATAAAGATATGTCTGATCGATCAGGAGAAGAGAAGATTCAAAATATCTCGATTTTGGAAGACAACGAAGAGATCAAAAATTCTTCCCAACGAGAAGAAAATGAAAGGATCCTAGATGGCTCTTTACAAGACCACTCAGATGGCCAGGATAATTCTGAAAATATGGGTGACTCTGATGACCAGAGAGACCACGCTGATAGAAGCGATGATATGTCACCCACTTTAGAGATGATCCAAGAAGAGACGGAAAATGCTGAGACAACCAAGATCAAAGAATCTGATTTTGCCTCAGCAGAGAAGACCAAATATATCTCAGAAAATCTCCTCAGAGAAGCAAGCAATGAAGGAACCAACCAGAAGAGTTTAGGGTTTAACAAAACTTCTTCTGGCGGAAGGAAGAGCGATGAATTCAGTAAGAAACGAGAAGAGATCATTCAAAAAGTGATGGGGTCTTCCTACTCTTCAATGAGTAGTAACCAAAGAAGGCTCTTTGAAAGCCTCGATCTGAATAAACGTAAGCTTATTTTATTATATCTTAGAGGAAATGCAGGAGTTAGAGAACCTTGGCCTTGATGCAATGAGCATTATCGCGAGCATTGTAAAGCAATTCGCACATGTCTTTGAGTCAAAAAAGAAGAAGAGGAAGTGAAAGAATGAAGAAAATAAAATTTCTGCATAATTTTATAAATCAATATTACTAATATTTACAGGGGTTTTGGGGTTTTGGGGTTTTGGGG